ATTAATTATTATTAAAACGCAGGCTATCTATTGTACTAAAAAATGAAGCGGCACCCCGTCAGAGGTTTCAATGAACGGAGCTCGGGTACCATGGGAAAGTTCTGTTAAGTATCTTGGTCTCACTCTTGACAAGGGGATAACCTGGCAGAAGCATAATGAAGCGTCAAAAACTAAATTCCAAATCACGTTTCGGCTATGCTATGTAGAGCCTCAAAATCAAGTTTGATCAACAGAGTTCGACTGTACAAGATGCTTATTAGGTGATCTCTTACGCAAGCGCAGCTTGGTGTTTTTTCTCGCCAAAACGTATTGTCGTAGTCTGCAAGTTTTACAGAACAGAACCTTGGGCACAATCACTATCGCCCCATGGTATGTCTCCAATGGGACCTTTCGCAGGGACCTTGACATCCCTTATCTAAGCGACTACAACAAGCATATCTACGTTATAGTCAAACGCAATGCCTAGCAATCCTTTGTTGCGCGAGTCAGGAGCAAGTACGCAAGGGCACAATGCCACGCATCGGACTGTGAACAAAATTAAATCGTGATACTGTAGGTCCAATCTAAATTATAATTATTCTTCATCAACCAATCTCTAAATTAGTTTATGGATCAATTTAAAATTCCAAAATACTAGGCAGCCCTTAAATCGATGCACTTCATTCTTCTTTGTTCCATCTCCTTTTTTTTCTTCTTTCCTTCTTTCTCCTGTCTGATATCTGGACAACCACACCTGACAGACCTACTGACTTACATTATTTTAACCAAGAGCGCATTTGCACTTTATGGTTAGGATATCTCAGAGACTAGAGCCAATTGAGAGTACAAGTGGTTTTTTTTTTTCAAGCAGAAACAATATATGGTTTTGAAAAAGTGGGCTGACTCTGCACTTCTCACGCAAGGTCCTTATCAATACATAAAGGAATATATTCAACACAAACTAGAAAAAAATCAGTCTTACAGATCTATACAATTAGTCCATAGAGATTCTTTCCCAGCCCTACCGTAGTGCACATAGAAACTACGTCTCTCCCCGATACCTAACTTGGGCAACCGTGGGACCGCGGCAGAAGTACCTATGATTTCATACCAGAGCACTCATCATGGTCGGCACAGCCGCGGCCGATAGGTAGAACACTCGGTATTATGCAGGCTTAATCTTATATGAACTTTGACGTCTTGAATTTTCCATACAACATTTTGTAATACTGTTTTTTCAGTTCAAAGAACCATAACTGTACATATTTTCAAGCTTCATACATACCCAAAATAGCGGATAAATATCTCTGTTGAGATTTCAGATGATTTAGTTTACAGGACTATAGATCCTTTCAAGTTCTTTGCATTGATTAAAAGATATTGAAAGATGAATTAAAGCGACGTTGTCAAGAATTTGTGCATACTATCCAAACATATTTCAATAAGGATATTGCACTGACAATACTGAAATATTTTTCGATATTCCTATGTGAGTTGTGATCTTTGTCAAGTTCCGGCAACAGCGCGACAGAGTTTATGGACCAAAATAACTGAAAGCAATTCTGTTATTCTCAAAGCAACAGCAGCAGCAGTCGCAGTGGCTCTCCTAGTGGATGCTGCTTCACAGCACCCAGTCGTAATGTATGCTTTTCAGCAGCCTTTTACTTTAATTTATGGTCCATTAAAATAGCTGAGGATAAAAAGGTTCACATTTTTGCAAAAGCGCATACATACTCACACTCTCTTATGGTTGTATGTGTGTATACCAAACCGTTGTATGCAGGTTCTCTTTGCAAAAGTACTTCGTTAGAGGGCACTACAGTTTTCCTTTTAATACTCATTTTTTTAAGATATTATGAGAACCGGTAGTTCGATTTGAATGAAATTTGGAACACATGTCTTACTAGCCTTTCTTATATTTAACCTCTACGAAAAATCGAAAGTGTTAGAAAAGGATGAAAACTATCCCCACCCCTACATCAATTATAGGATATATACAGGGTGACTTCGAAGTTGAGTCATTTATTTTAACAGTGAGTAGATCTGATCAAAAGAAATGTTTTTTCCTTTACCATTTTTCTGGTAAAATTAAAGTAACAAAGTTATAGCCCTTTGGTAGTTTGAGTACCGCCCTGTCTCAATAATATCATGTGCTCGTGTTTGGCAACAACGGATATAATCCGCCTTATCGGTTCATCGCATCGGAAACAAAAAAGCGAAAGAATTTGGAACGATGTTTTTACAATTATTTTATTCAGTTCAGTTATACATACAGTCAGTGTCAGTCGCGTGTGAATAGTGTCTGTTGCGTGGCTCAAACGAAATAAAAAATGGCACATGTTTATGCGGATCGGTTTCCCAATCGAGTGCAATCAACCCCTCGTGCCTTTGTTAATGTAGTACAACGGGCTCGTGAATCAGGTGACTTAAGACCTCACAGGGGACCTCACGATCAAATACAGGTCCGCACTGAAATACTTGTCGGGAGGATACTTTATAAAACAAGGTAAATTTTTTTTTTAATTTTTTTTTATTTTTACACACATATTTTGGTTATCTTCCTTCTACAATCATTATCTGAAAATTAATGACTCAACTTCAAAGTCACCCTGTATATAGAATTTTGGAAACTTTCCCGACGACTCTGATTCTGTATATTGTGCATACTTTTTTATTTTATTTTTTCACATTCCAAAAAATCAGATACAAATTCAGAATTCCACTGATTAATAAAATTTTATGTAATAATTACAAGTACCTATTCCATTGTAACAAGTCAATAATTAGGCGTTAGTACACAAAAACCTGTAACCTATAATAATAGCTAAATTGAAATACAAAAATATACATATATACACTCACATCTTAAGTATTGAAAAATACAAGCTTACAAATGAAGCAGTTACTCTTCTCTTAATAAATAAAACAATGACATGACATTAAAAGTGAAACAGGTAAAAGTTTGTGATCTAAAGATTGCTGCAACGAATAAGTTTCCAATTTTATAATGATATTCCCTAAGCTATTCTTAAAAATATTACAATTATTTTCCACCCTTGTGTGATGCGGTATTTTATTAAAAATTTATATACGAGTAAGTAGTGCCCTTTTTCGTTGCGGTAAGTCTGTGTCGAAAGTAACTGAGGCCACTGTGCCTTATGTAGCTTTAAATATGAATACCTGGAACATTGAGAATACCTCTGAACCTTCCTCTGCAAGTGTGTCTCGGATAATTTTCGAGAGAAAAAAAACGAGCTGCATCAAGAGGTTCCAAGCGAATTAAAATTCTTTACCTGTAGTTACTACTATTACTTTATGCAATTTTATTTAATACAGGCCATAGTGCAAATCTTTCATAAAACGTGTTCAATTTGACATCTACTTTCGTTCCCGCCGTAACAATACGGCGCAAAAAAATATAGATAATTTTCTTCAGGATGTCATTATTCGTTAATTGCAGCATTTTGAATTCTGTCCCATAGTTGATTGGCGTTGTATATCTGAACCTCGTGTTTCTAATGCTCCCCATATAAAAAAATTGCAAGGATCAAGATGAAACGAGGTGGCCATTGACTAGGAGCTTCTTGGCCTCTACCCATCCATCTACCATCAAATTTCTCATGAAAGTAATTTCTTACAGCACGCGCAAAGTGAGGTGGAGCACCATCATGCATAACAAACTTGTCTTTTCTTACATTCAGAGGCAGTTCTTCTAATAATTCAGGTAAAACGTAATGTAGAAAATGCAGATAACTATCTCCGTTTAGTTTATCAGGCAACATAAATGAACCAACTAAAGGTTGCCAATAATCCGCATCCATTTAAATTCACGTAGAAAATGTCTTTTCGAGACTGCACGTGGATTAAACTCAGACATTATTTATTAATTTAAGCTTTATGATGGTTGTTGGCAAAAATAATCTGACACTGTACATGACATCTCACATTTCCGCCAAATAGATGCCTACTAGATTTTTACACTTGATTTAATAAGAAAATTTTTTAGAAACCAGCTCCGAAGAACATTTCTTCTCGGAAACTATGCAAGATGACCATAAGAGACAACAAATAATACAAATACAAAAGATCTTTTCAATAAAAAAATAAGAGTTATTCAGAGAGTTGTGAAAAAAGTCGCGATATTTTTTGTAGGGGTGCGTGTAGTTTTCACCCTTCTCGAATCCTTTCGGTTTTTTTGTAAGAGTCAAATATTAGAACGTGTAGCAAAACATATGCGTTCCAAATTTCATTCAAATCGGAGTATCGGTTTCAAAAGTTTGTGAAAAGGTGTGTTTTGAAAATGACTCATGCAACGAAGACTGTAGTAACTCAATTTTTGGATAATTTGAGTTATTTCTTTGTTCTCAATCATTCGATATGTAGCTTTACTATAGAATACTGTCGTAACTCATGCGGCTATGTAGGCAACCCAAAAACCACCTTTTAATTTTATCGTACTATGTCAAACAACTTAAAGATATTTTCAATGAAAACTGTTGTATGTTGAGTTGCGATATTCTTTGTTTTATAATCCTCGGATCTTCGAGCAAGATTTATCGTACATTGAGTTGAAGGTGAAGAGTGTTGCAAGTCTAAAATATGAATAGAATAAAGCGTATATTGGAGTTATCCAAAAACATTTATGAGCAACCAGATCCTGGTAGTATATTTGAATTTCCTTATGCCACCAGGAATCGTTAATATTTTCTATGTTTGCATTCGCAAATATTATGGTATTTTATTTTTCAGAAATAATAAGAAATGTAGTTCAGAAATGATATATGGATCCTTGTTCTTATTTTTTTACAGAACCGTCTTTACCTTTCGAACAAAAAATATTTTCAAGTAGTGAACCAAAGATAATCATTCAAAAATGATAGAAGATGATACTGATCCAGTCTATCTAATAAATCTTATTTTTATTTTTATACTGCTTACGTAAATTAATTTCGTCTCAAATAGTTGCTATAACTAAAATAGCATTTATTTGAAAAAATATGTTATACAAGTTTTTTTTATAGCAATACTTCTGGGAAAGCTTCTGTCGTCAGACTGCTGCGAAAAAGCGGAAAATGATTCTGACGTGATAAGTGAGGTGTTGGAGAAAATTATTGATTATGCGGAGAAGGAATGCCCTTTCAACTATCATGGCATAGAAAATTCCCATTTTTCTGATTGCGATCCAAATTATGTTCCTACTGATGACAGTGCTGAATCAGCGGATGAAGCACAACATGTAAATAATAATAAACCAAAGCTAAAGCGAAAAATGGCAATAAAGAACAAGGAATGTAAAAAACGCTTAAGAAAAGATAATGAGTGGATGGATAATAAAGCTAAAAAGCAACTTAATCTGGGAAATAAACATGAAAATCGAGTAGGTAAAGTAATTTTGATGTAGAATGATGAGAGCTCCATGCAAGGAAAATTGTAGAAATAGATACAAGTAAAAAATTCTGGAAAATAAGGGGCCGTTCAAGTATTACGTGAGCACTATGAGGGGCGGGGGGGGTCTTGGCTTTGCTTATGTTGGATGACCTTTGGGGTAGGGAAGTCTAGATGATGATTACGTCATCGGTAGTTATTTACTTTTTTACACGAATGGCAACCCTGACATTGTCTTTGCTTGAAAACGAAACGCATTTTCGGGGATTCCCGGAAATAATGCATACGTTTAGTAAACAGAGCGCGGTAATTCCCCTATTCGCTTTAGAACCGAGTAGGGGAATTACCGCCGCGGTGTTCACTTGTCTAAATTTCTTCTATCAGTGTATTGTTTCGTTTGAATACTATAGCGAGTAGACGTATTGTAAGCATAGTAAAGCAAGTTAACATTTGTGTTACCATTGATTCCATTGGCCAAAGTTTAACGTTTAAATAAGATAGACAAATCCAAGTTATACCAACGATTGTTTGAAAGTTTTAAAAAAATCTCATACAAGTACAAAAGTACAAAATGTACAAAAGTTAGTTAACGAAGTGTGGCGAAATTATAAATTACAAGCAAAATCCGACAAGGAACTAGATATTATTGTATCTAAGAGAACCGAAGAAGAATTGCAAGCAGCGACTAAGAATAAATACAATCTATTAAATTTTTTTTCTAAGGTGAGTGACGAAATCATTCTAGGTACCTATGAGTACTATAAATATTAGAAATCGCCAAAAACTTTCTCTTTACTGATTAGAAAATATTATGGCCTATCCCAAAGTATATATATATATATCATTATATTTTAGATATATTTCTTATGATTGATTCCGTCAATTGATCACAAAGTACAGGATGTTAATTTTATACATATATACAGAAAACTAACACCCTGTATTTTGTGACCGGAGCGAATTGCTCGTTTAAACATATTAGATTTAAAGCGATAGGGTTTTGTATTTACCATATACATTGCCATACTTTGTATTTATGTAGCTTAATAAGAGAATCTTTAGCAGAAGCCATAGAAAGTTTTTATATTTAGGCAACCTGTAAACCTGCAGAAAAAACACAAATTATACAGTCAGCTTCAAATATTAAAAAAGAGGAAGAAGATAAAATAAAACCCGGTAATGAATCACAACAGCAATGCGAAATTAATGAAAATACGGATAAACAGAGAGCAAAACCTTCTCAGGAAGCTATGAAAAATAAGATTGCTCTACTCGAAAAAATTTGAATGCTTTGTATTCTGCCAGAGATACTATGCCAAGCCGTGCTGAAGTTGATAAACAGATCATTAAGTTGCGCGAGGAAATTAAAACAGCCAAACAGTCTTTAAACAGGAAGGTTCAAAACGCAGTTGCCCAGAAGAAACACAGGGATGGTATGAAAAGAAAGTTAGAAGATATTTGTCATGAAAATCCAGAAATAAAAAAAAGACTCTGAGGGATTCAGTGGGACGTCCTAATCTTGAAAGCAATCAACATTCACTATTGAAAACAATCGCGGATATAGCTTTATTTGGGAGTGCAGCAGATGACAGAAGACGAACGGAATCAATTCGCAGCGTAAAAACTCTTGATGAACTCACGCAAGAATTACGTAAAATAGGATTTGACATTAGTCGCAGTGGGATATATCTTCGTTTGATTCCCAGAAAATCTGATTCTGCATAGGGACGAAGACATGTATCGACAGTTCCTGTTAAGCTCATTCGGGCTCAAACTGATCACCACAAGAGCCACTTAGATAGCAAAATCGCTGAAACATCAATCCATTATTTAGAGAACATACCATCCATACTTGGACCAGATCAAGTATTCTTCATATCTCAAGATGATAAAGCTCGAGTCCCTATTGGCGTAACTGCGGCAAATAAGCAAGCACCTCTTCTAATGCACATAGAATATATAATCAAATTGCCTGATCACGATTGGGTAATCGCTGAGCGTCATAAATTAATACCATCTGTTTATGCTGGTATCAAAATCACTTCCAATATGCTAGGACAACCGCAAGCCATTGGATATTCTGGACCAACATACATCGCTATTCGAAGTGGAAAGCATAGTTCATCTACTGCTAATACTCATGCTCAGCATTTCGAGACGCTTCTCGGACTTGAAGAGTTTTGACCTTTAGCTAAAGCTGACCATGGACTAGTAAAACCAGTGGTGATCATGACGGTTGATGGAGGGCCAGGTGAAAATCCACGTTATCAAAAAGTCATAGGGTTTGCTATACAACACTTTAAGCGACACGATCTCGATGCATTGTTTTTAGCTACCAATGCTCCTGGCAGAAGTGCAGAACAGAGTAGAGCGCAGAATGGCTCCTCTTAGTCGGGAACTGGCTAGTTTAATATTGCCTCATGACCATTTTGGGTCTCATTTGGATGAACGTGGCGTTACAATTGATGAACATTTAGAAAGATCTAATTTCGAATTTGCAGGAAATGTATTAGCTGAAGTATGGAGTTCAATGGAAATTGAGGGCTATAATGTTAATGCAATATATGTTGGGGCAGGTGAACAAGATCTTACTGATTTTCCAGACGTTAAATGGTATTCAGAAGATGTGTGTGAGAGCCAATACTTGCTTCAAATTGTAAAATGTAGAAATACAGAATGCAGTCGTCCAAGAAGTGGCCTATTTAGATTACTAGACAATAGGTTTCTTCCACCACCTGTAAAAGTGAAACAAACAGTTGATGACTAGGTTTTGGATGAAGGAGGGCAATTTCTTAATCTTCCAGTAAATTTAGCTCTACGCTTAAGTGCTTCACTCAAAGATTTCCTGCAAATGCCCTACGATTATTTTTGTTCGACGATAAAATTGAGGCTATCAAGTCGAACATGCAAAACGTGTGGTCTTTATCATGCTTCCGTCAAGTCACTAAATCGTCACATTGAAAATATCCATAAAAAAGTAAACACGCACACTGATAGGAAAGTTAGACCTGTAAGGGTCGCTGCTCGTCGTGCTAATGAACTGATATGCATTATTCAAAATTTAGAGCACTATGATGGTGAATGGCTCGATAAGAACGACGTAGACATTCCAAAATCCGATGAAAGCGAGCAAACTCACAACACTGAGCAGCAATCGAAGCAATCCAATGTCATCGAAAACTCAGAATCATGGATTCGGGTTTCATGGACTGAAGACTGTTAATCTGAATTTAATATATGTACCAAAAATTTAAAATAAGTTAGTAAGATATAATATTTTTGTCCTTTATTCTATGTTGAATACCGTATCAGTAAAATATAATCTCTATCCTAAATCTATTTTCTTATTTTTCAAATTATAATTATAACGTTATTATTATAATATTAGAAAAACAATACATTAATTGACAAATGTTTACGTAAGCATGGGGGGAGGGGGTAAGAGCTTTGCTTACTTTTGCTGACAAGGGGGATGGGGGTAAATAATTGTAATAAATCTGCTTACGTAATACTTGAACGGCCCCCTAAGAGGCAAAAAATATTTGAAAATTTTTGGGGACTGGGAGATCATACAAGGCAAAGGGGTTTCATCTGAAAATGTGTTCACCAAGTAGAAAAAAAGCAGATAATTCATAAATGGCGCAATTTGAAAAAAATTGTAGAAGGTGGTACTTTAGAAAAGGATATGGGGGGACGCCATAATGTAAGACCCAACAAAATTGCAGAAGATCTTAAGGATAGAGTGAGAGCTCATATTAAATTGTTTCCAATAGTTCCTTCTCATTACATTAGAAAACATTCAAACAAAATGTATTTAGAGGAAGGTTTAAATATTACGGAAATGTACAGAATGTACAAAGAGCATATTGGAACCAATGGAGCTCAGTTTGCAACTGTACGGCAGTATCGGGAAATTCAATATTGCATTCTTCAAACCAAAGAAGGATCAGTGTCAACTATGCACGGCTTACAAAGATGCTGATAATGATATAAAATTGAATATGCAAGAACAATATGATCAGCACTTAGCCAATAAAGGTGCGGTCAGGAACTTGAAAGATGTGGATAAAGAGCTGGCTACTAATGACAAATCTTTATGTGTTGCATGTTTTGACTTGCAAAAAGTGTTGGTTACGCCTCCGTCAGAAGTAAGCACATTACATTATAAAACTAAAATTGCAACGTATAATTTTACAGTCTATGACATAGGTAACAATGAAGGGTTCTGTTATGTCTGGTATGAAGAGGTGGCAAACCGAGGGTCAAACGGAATCAGCAGTTGCCTATTGGACTTTCTGAAAACACAAAAAGCTAAAGGGGTTAAAAGTGTTATCTTATATTCCGACAATTGTGGGGGCCAAAATAGGAACCGTTTTATTTTCTCCATGTTCGCATATGCTTCTAACATTCTCAACATGAAAATAACACACAGATTTCTGGAAAAGGGGCATACACAGAACGAAGGAGATAGCATGCATGCAGTGATCAAGACAGCTAAAAAGCGACAGGGTGCTGTCTACACCCTAAGTCAATGGATAACATTAATAAAAATGGGGAAGCTAACTGGAAAACCCTACATAGTAAAGAAATGTCCCAAGCAGACTTCTTTAAATTTTCTAATATGGTTAAAAATCAGAACTGGAAGAAGGACGAAAATCGTGATCAAATAAAAATTAGTAAAATCCTGGAATTGTCGTGGTTATCAGAAGAACCAAATACTGTCCATTTTAAATATGAATTTGCAGAATCACCAAGAATTTTAAGCCTAAAAAAAATTAGGCGCAGTCAACTTCAAACTTGTAGTATTCAATTGCCTCAACCATACACTTCTCCTCTCCCTATTGACAGTAAGAAATTACAAGGATTGCTACAGCTTTGCAGAGGAGACATACTACCTCGTATGTACCATAATTTCTTTTTTTCTCTAAAATCGAAGGAAAGAACTCTGACGAAGAATAGTAAAAATCCGAACTCTGAAGTTTCTTTGAAGAAGATGATTTTGAATAGAAATTAATGTATTTCATCTATTTTTTAAAGTATTTTATAAAGTTTCTGAATTAAAATGTTTAGTTATAAAGTTTCTGTATTAAAATTTTGGTTCAAAATGATCGTATGTCGTTTTTCTTTTATAAATTGTTCCGACGAAGAATATAGTAACTCTATAAAAAAGGGGTAAAATAAGTCAAAATGAAAGTTATTTTGGTGAGAAGTCTTGGATTTGACATTTAAATCAACATACCAAATTTCGTTTTCAACGGTTTCTTTTTGGCAATTTTTAAACCGGCTAACTAATGACATAAAAATTAAAAGCCAATTTTCTCAAATCTATCAAAAGTGACTTACTACAGTCTTCCTTGCATGAGTCGAAAAGAAAACTATAACGCTCTCTAGGGGCAAAGTAAGAACTTTTGCATACAAGTAAATCATGTCCAATCGACTTATTTTGAGTCTAGATATACGTTGGACTTCCATATATACGGAAAATTGGGACACTCTATATGCGAATGAAATGCCTAGTGTCGGATATAAACGGAGAACACAACTGATGCAAATGAATCTGTTTTGGCTTAAGTCATAAACTTTCAGAATTTTTATCAAATTGCATAAGGGTAGGTTTCTAGTGAGAGCGAGATCGGTTGCCCTTGTATTATAAAGTCCTCCATATTTTTACCAAAATAAAGCTTATAAACCCTATTTGATGAGCACCCATTACGTTTTGACGTCTACTGAGGTGAATAGCTGATCAGCAAGTGAATCTTTGTATCATTCTATAACGTTAGCAATAATGAATGGAGTAAAAATCTAGTAAAGCTTAGGATCATATTCACAGCTATTGTCCACATATTTTGATACTTTTAGGCCCGAACAGGAGATCAAAATGTTTGATCCAGAACAAAAGGGATCAAAGAGAAGGCATCTTTCTAGGAATGGATCTACGAGCCCCTTCCCACTTCAGTTGGCGCACTTCAAGATTTGTACCAAAACATGCCTGTATAAACTAAACATGACGAAACTATTTACTTCTAAAATAATTTATTTTCTCAAAAACATTTTAGATACACTCTAGTCGTAAAAAATAGATATTTGAAATCACTTAGATCTATAACTAATAGAACATATGAAAAAATAAACAATGTGCGAATAAATGCGCGAAGTTAACAAAGCAACAATTGAAAGATTACCATTGGGTAACATCACCTTTATTTTTTATTACGGCTGAGATTCTTTGCGGCATAGTGTTAACCAAGTTTTTGGCAAAAATTTGGTGTAAAACTATCTCATATTTCTTGAAGCTTTTGTCTCAGTTCGGTGATTGTACGAGCAGGATGTTGTCGTAGAACCTTTTTCATCTCGTGCCACAAAGCTTCAATAGGTGACAGATCTGGACTGCTAGAAACCCATTTCAAAAGCGGTACATTATTTTCTTCCATCCATTTTATAGCCTTTTTTGAGGTATGGCGCGCTGCACCATCTTGCTGAAACACAAAATCTTGGCCGGATGTCAAACATTCTTGCATCACTGGTAAAAGCGATTCTTCTAAAATTGCCAAATATTTGTTTGTATCCACATTTCCATCAATAAAATGAAGTTTTCCTACTCCTTTTGATGACATACTGCCCCAGACCATAATGGATGCTGGTAATCTCACTTTTCTCTTCGGACAGTCAACATGGAATGCTTCATTTTTTTGCGAATAACTCTACTGCGACTGTCACCAACACAAACTTCGAATCGGGCTTCATCACTCCATTGTATTGCACACCATTGTTGAGGTGTGTCCATTTTCTATGTTCCTTAGCCCATCTAAGCCGATTTTTCTTTTGCAGTGAAGATTAATGGTGGCTTTTCTTTGGCCTATAAACAAGTTGTGCAACTTTACTTCACTTTTTTTTATAAGAAAACTTACCTTGCAAGTACTAAATCCCTGTTTGTGGGCCTCTCTATGAGTTGGAGACCTCGAAATTCTCCTTCCAACAGCGTCACTCCACAGAGCACTTAATTGTAAATAATTGGCACGCCTGTTTTTCACGATTATTCTTTTTAATGCTCTTCGGGCGGCATTAGTGATATTACTTTTTTCACATATCGTGGCTTAATATTAACTGAACCAGTTACTTTATATCTTCTAACAATATTTCTCACCGCAATAAGTCTAACAAAGTTGCAATTTCTGAGATTGATTTCGCAGAATAAAAAAATTTTATTATCAGCAACCGAATTTTCTCACTAATAACCTTTCCTCTACCCATTTTGAAAACCTTAACTACCCAAAACTACGTATTTTAAACGTATTCTGACAGCTGTTATTTTTCACAGCCACCTATGCATTATAGACTTATTTTGCATTGAAATGAAAATAGGTTGATATGCTGTAATTGAAACATGTGTTATTTTTATGCTGCAAATTTGAATAGGGAGTGATAAAGTTGGTGTTTTCTAATATATATTATCAAAATATTCATTGTTAATATTTTAAACCTATAACATCCTGCTACATTTTTATTATTTGTGCATGATAAGAAAAAAACTAAGATTTCGGTAGTTGGGCCAACTGAAGTGGGAAGGGGCCCCGTAATGAATACAGTCGATTTTTGCTAAAATATCTCTCATGCTAGCAAAAAAATATACTATTTGCGTAATTAATTCCCATATAAAATAAAAAAATTATTTGTACATCACCTGGTTTAGCTACAAAAACATATTTTTTCACTTGATCTGGAGATCAAAACCGTCGATCCGGATCAACAATGACCAATTAGAAAGTATTTTTAGTAAAGTCGGATCAAAAATTGGTCATTCGGAGGGCCCCCTTCCCGAATCGTGGATCAAATTTGATATAATGCTTAGAATGAAATCACGTCAATTACGGGGTACTTTATTGAAAAGAACAGTATATTACTTACCCGAAAGAGATAATATTATAAAATAGGATATCTTTTTAAAAATGCATCAACGTGTTGTGATTGTTGTTTAAATTGCCATTTAATGTAATTTGTAGATATATGAACCACTGTTTGGTACACACAACCTCTGTTCGTGGGCGAAATTTATGGAAAGTAATGGAAATCATATTTTTGATGAAAAGTATTTCAGTAGGCGTAAAACGTACTTACGTTTCTAGTGGAAAAGAAAGTCTTTATTATATTTGAAACGGCTCGAGTATTACGTATCTTGAAAAGTGACATGGTAATGGTGTTTTGTGGCAGTATGTAGGTTTTTCTACAAGATCTTACCTCGGCACTAGCTGCTGAACACCTGTTGTGAACTCGTTTTGTTGTACGTGTGTTCTATAGGCAGAAGGAAATTTGTGTGCTAATAATATGTATTGATAATTCCATTGGAGTCGTGCCTCAAATACACTCACTTAAGATTCAAAGCTAGGAATGAGTTGCGAATCCACTTTTTTTTATTCACCTGGAAATTAAATATGCAAATTTACTGAATTTCAAAAATGGGAGAGATAAGAAAAGAAAATCCCTGGTGAGAAAATATGCTACAGACAGGAATATTAATGAAAGTGAAAAGGTTATTACATTACTTTTTATCTCATTATCTCATTTAAATTTTATAGAAATTTATTTCGCGAATAGAACATACAAATCAGCGCCTAGATGTGGGGCATTGCGAAAATGTTTGATGACCGCTCCTTTGTCTCGAGAGTGTCGAGACTGTGGAACAATCTACAAGAGGAAGATTTTCCCAGTTCAAAAATCGTATTAACAAAATTTCTTTGGGAGCATCATAGCAGCCGCGGTGTTCCGGCATTTAGGCTTCTGCCTGCGCGGCGCGACAACATATAAATAATCCGTCTATCACAGCTAATAGATATACTTCATTGGCAGCATGTTCAGTACCCAGCAAATATCACTGATCTTATACACATGCAGACCAATACACACAATCATCCAGATGCGATCTTGCTTTTCAAGAAACTTTCTTTGTTTCACATTTTCTCAGAGATGAGAACTACAGACTACTCGGCTGCACAAACCATATGCAACCAACAATGAGTGTAGTTGAGTTATTCCTCCATATATTGATGCTAACAACGATCCTATGAGCAAACAAGTAATGACTAAAAACTACCAGGTCTGTATGATGAGATTTTATAGGTTTTTTTTGGCGTTTTATAGGTTTTTTACATGATACCCGTGCCTCACCGGTGTCACGTATCTTCAACAGTGACATTTTGTCGTTTTTTTTATAT